TATACCTATATTTATGCCATGCAGTGTATGCCTTCTTTGTCTTTCTTGAGCTCTGACCCCCCTGTCCTTACCTTACAGATTCCCTCTCATCTTGCTTGGGTTCTCACTAAGCATTGGCCCCAGCACCCCCACCTCAGGCATGGATTTTTATCTTTCTTATCTCCTCATCTGGATTGAATTGAAATAGGAGGGAAGGAAAGTAGATGGCTGGTTATTTTTGATTCAGTGCTAGAAAGTGTACATGAAATTAGAGAAATAATTTAAGACCTAGGATTGATGAGACTGAATTTAAGTCCCATTCCTCCAGAGGAACATTATGTTTATTTCTACAGTTCATTCATGACAGAATAAAAGGAGCATGGCCTAGATTTACTGCTCAGTGACTTCTCTAGCGGAAGAAAGGCTCACCCTTTCTAAATGAATCTGTTTAGAAATTTAATTAAGCTCCTCTTGAGCCAAGTCCTACTTTTGCCTTTTGCCTTTGCCTTTGCTAGCTTTAAGGTTACTAGGATAACTTAGTGCCATCAAGACATGGTTGTGTAACAGGTGTTGTACAAGTCAGTTCACGTGAAAGTCCAGAGTAGGGACATTCATAGAAACAGTGATTCATGGTTGCTTCAGTTGAAGGGGGCTGGGCATTGAGGGGGTGACGGACGAAGTGTATGGGTTTCTTCTTGAGGTGATGAGTATGTTCTAACATTGTGCTGATGTTTACACACATTTGTGCATATACTAAAATCCATTCAATTGCATCCCTCAAATAGGTAAATTGCATGGCATTTGAATTTTATGCCACTAAAGCTTGGGAAACGTCTTGTAAAAATGACATTGATAGTGCCTTGCTTGGAACCTTGAGTCAACATGGAGACCTCCATGGACTGCGCAGCAGTAGCAGCACAACTTCTCAGCAAGGCTGGTGATAGCCAGACACAAAGCAGAGACGCAGTAGAACCGCTCCTCTTGGGGATCACCTGTTCATGGCTGTATAACCTTGGGCAGAGCACCTGAATTTCCCTATGTGCAGGTTTCCTCAGCTGGGAATGGGGCATGTTAGCATCTATTATTAAGTGAGAATGTCCATGGAGCTCATGGCATGGCTTGTGGCACTAAATAGCCTCTGCTGAGTGGTCTTTTGCTGTGAGACACAAAGCATCATAAAACAAGCTACTCTGAGCTCAGGGTCACTTTTTCCTCAGTTGTCCGTCCCTTTGCCTCTACCTGTCTATGAGGCCTGGCTGTGCTGCTGTGCACCTTTTGGGAACTATGGGTCATAACGGCTGATGGGTTGAGCCTGATCATCAGAGAACTGGTTTTTAACTCCTCTGGGAGTATGAGGTCTCAGCAAAGTCAAGGGAGCCCTCTGGGACAGATCAGTTTCAAGTCTGAAAAAGTATCAGGGGAGATTTTTAAAATATGCCTATGACCATTGATTTGAATTAAAGTGAATTTTTATCTTTCCTCATCTAAAGAGCCTTAAGTGGCCTTTGGAACCTTCCGGCATAACAGCATTTAAAGGAGCGTTGCCCAAATGACTTGCTTGTGTGAACCCCTCCTCCCAACTCAGTCTTTTCCTTCTACTGAGGCAAAGCCCACTTCTGTTCTCACATCCAGTTGACATAGTCCCCCCTCCCTTAAAGGTTTTCCTGAAGCTGCTAACCCTTATCAGTATTGGAATGGCAAGACCTTTGTGATCTTCAGTTCATAGTGTGCTATGTTTTTCTGCTTCAGTTAATCATGCTCTGTGTTTACTGTGTCTGTACAGATTATGTGTTGCTTCTCCCACTCTTTCCTTGTTTCTCCCCTCCACCCCCTTCCATGCCCCACCTCTACTCCATTGGCCTGTGGCTAGCATCATGCCAGGTATTGAATAGATAATTAATAAATGATCTTGATTAGCCCAGATGTAACAAAAACCCTGAGAGTCAGTAAAGGTTTTCTCTAATGTGGTTTTCTTTTGACCTTTATCATTGGAGGTGTTTTTAACACCTGAACACATCTCTAGGAGAGATCAGCTCGTATTGTAAATGAATGCACACTAGATTTGGTGTAACAGGAAGGCATGCATCCCACAGAAAGAGGTGTCTGCTGCTCCAGCTGGTTACTAACAAGAGACACACAGATTCAACACCATCAAATCTGTCATGTCTTGAAAAATCAGAAATCTGGGCTTTTAAAAATGTAGGTCATTGATCTAAAATGTTACCATTGGCAGCACAGTATGGGAGGGAGCTAGCAGAGCAGGAGGGAGCTTAGGAAGAGACCCATGGGTGCGGGAACTTGATAGATGATCGTGAGGTCACAGTGGGGAGAGGACTTGTTGCGAAAAAGATGGTTTTGGGAAAACTGGTTCGCAGTCTTGAGAAAAACAAAGCTGGACCCTACCTTATACCAGATATAAAAGTAGGTTCCAGATAGGCCTGTGTGTGAAAGGTTAAGCTGTAAAGCATGCTGATTTTGCCGCCTTAGGGAAGGAGGTTTTAAGCAAGACCTCAAAATGGACTGTAAGTCCAAGAAGCCATGAATTGGATCACATTAAACTGAAATATTTCTCACCTGATAAAAGACATCTTGCACGAAGTTATTAGTCAGCTGACTGACAGAGAGGACATATCGGCAAGGTATAAACGACTATCTAGCAAGGTCACGGGAATCAACAGCAAAGTCAGAAATGAGAAAAATGTTGGGACAAGTGGGTAGAGGCTGTGAACAGGAAATTTCCTGAAGAGGATGCCTCAGTGTTAATACTCTTTCCAAGGAGTGCTCAGCTTCCTAGTAATGAAGGAAAGCAAATCAAAAGGGCAAAGTATGACTTTATACCATTCGATTGCCCAGCTTCCTCATTTTTGCCAGCAGTGGTTACCGATAAAGGTGTGAGAAAGAGGGACCCCGCGTGCAGCCCTCGGGAGCCATTCTGGACGAGTACTTGGCACCATTTCCTGAAATCAGATTTGCATATGTTTTTGGATAATTCCACGCCAGGGTAGGTAGCGGGGGGAAAATCTTGCCCAGATCCATCCCTCCTCGTTGATGCCACTTATCCTGGTGTAACTACTAATAGTGATTCTGTTCATTCCGTGTCCCGACTTGGGTGACATACTGAGGACTGGCCATTAGGTGGCATCATTACTGTGTTGTTTATGGTCTCAGGAAGCAGGAGGCAGCTCAGGTGCCTGGTGCTAGCGAGTGGGTGAGATGTGGGAGATTTCCTACATGGAGCACCCTGGAGCGGGGATCAGCAGTGGACTAGGTGCGCAGAGCGGGAGGAAGAGAGCCCATGGTTTTCCAAACGAAAAACCTCTGCGGGTTGAATTAGGGTATAAAGGCTTATCTTGGATTTTTTTTTTTAAAGATAATTTTTTTAAAGAGCAGTTTTAGTTTTACAACAAAATTAAGAGGAAGGCACAGAGCTTTCCCAAAGACCCCCTTGTGCACAGCCTCCCCCCTCATCAGCATCAGACTGGGACATTTGTTTCAGCTGAAGAACCCGAGGCTTCACGCTTGCTGTTGTGACTCTCTGAGTTTAGACAGATGTATAATGTCACGTATCCATCCTTAGAGCATCGTACAGAGGATTTTCACGGCCCTAAACATCCTTGGTGTTCCTCCTAGTCATCCCTCGTCCCCACAGCCTACCTGGGATTTTCGTGGGGGCGGGACAGGACATCACAGGTAGGATGCATTAAAACCCGCGGAGCCACACAGCCGTGGGAAGCCACCCCATCTCCCATCCTGTGTGGGGTTTCTGCCATTCTCCGGAAGTCTGGTCTCTTCCTTGAGTGCCTTAGACCCCAGTGGTCAGAGGGAAGGGTCTCTGATGTTCTGTAATGTCACGGCTTAGAGAGGAGCCTCCGCCGTACCCAAAAAGGGTGAGTCGGGCATCCAGGCGATCTTAGAGCGTGAACACGAAGCCAACTCATGAGCTCCCGGAGGGTTGGCGGGGCTCCTGTGCCTCGCCTTCGCCATCCCACACAGCCCTCCCAGTGGCGCTGAGCTGTGCCACTTGCCGGCAGAGAGCTCCAGTGGAAAAGCTCCCGTCTGAGAGCCTTTCTGGCCTGCGCCTCCGTTGGAATGTCACACCCTGTATCTTGAACACTGAAGAAGCAAATGGCTTTTCAGCTGAAACCCTCCCCGGGTGCTGTGCCTGCCCCTGTGCCATGTCCCGTTGTCCCTCCTGGTGGGTGCTGTGCTGCCAGCGTCCTGCCTGCCCTGCAGTCAGATCCCCACCAAGAGTATCCAGAATGCTGGCTGGAGAAGATGCAGTGTCTGTCTGTCTGTCTCTCCAGTTAGCATCCTTGCGATCCGCAGACGGGATGGCAAAGAGAGGCCGTCCTCACTGCGGCAGCTCTTACCGTCGTGGACGGGTGGGCAGTATTCCTCCTTCCCTGGCCCCCCGTCCAGGGGAACTGTCCCTTCGGGGTGGAGCAGTTTGATCGTTCTGGGCCCAGAAGAGGTCGGGGTTGATGAAGGTGCAGCGCCCAGACCACGTCCGGGTCACTGGGGTGCCGTGGGCGTGTGTGGCGTTTGCCATCTCCCCTGGCTCTCTGGATTTTGTTGCTGGCGTTCTCCTCTCTGTGTCTGGCACGTCCTGGGCTGTGGACAGGAAGAGGTTACAGCACCAGGAACCTGCTGGGCTGAGTTAGCACTTCCCTCTGCATCCAGAATATCTCCCAAGCACCGTCCCTTTTGCATCACGGAAAAGGGGTGGTGGTGTGGGCGGGGTGTGGGGGGGCGCGGGCTGCAGTAGGTTGGAGCAGCTCTTTAACCGTGTCTGGCTTTCCTCCCCACAGCTCTGCGAGGAGGGGGCCGCGGGAAGGGAGAGGCGTCGGGAGTGAAGGATGCGCCAGTCGGGGACACCTCGCGCCAGAGCTGCAGAGTGTCCGCGCTGCACCCGCCCGCTGCCCGCGCTCTCCGCGCTCTCCCCGTCTGCATCGGGCCACCCAGGGGTGCGCACACACTGCCGGCGGCTCCCGGGCTCCAGGAGGGCGGACCACAGGGCCTCGGTGGCGGGAGCCAGGGGCCGGTGAGGCCAGGTCTCCGGGGCGCCCGGAGCGGCCTCGGCTGCCTGCTCTCCTCGCTGGAAGGAGACACTGCGGGGAGCAGGCAGCGCTTTTCCTGCAGCTGGCGGGGACCTGCCCGGGCCTGAGCTCTCCCGCCAGCCTGCCCTGGAGGAGCAGCATCGCCGCAGGCTCTCCCCCTTCCAGGTGGCGCCCAAGAAGGCAGAGGGGGCCGCGTCCCTGTCATCCCTCCCAGACGAGAGGAAAGGACTCCTGGCGGGCAAAACTTCGGTTTCCCTGTGCGTCTAACTCTGGGGTGTGCAAGATCTGCCAGACCATAGAGGGTTTCATTTTTCACTTGCTGGGTGCTTGAGAAAAGCTGCAAGGAGTGAGTGGTAAGAGGAAGAAGCATTATAAACTTTGGGAGTGGGGGACATCTTCTTGGAAGGTGACAAGTAGCCTCAGATCTGCGGTTCCAGGGCCAGTGACGACGTCCTTGGCTCAGACACTCTGAAGGGTCTGGACGCTGCCACATGACCCACACCAAAGACCCCAGGAGAGCCATGGAACCCACGCTGGCGCCATCCAGTTCTGCCACGGGCCCGGTCACCTTCTCCCACGTCTTTGGTCAGCAGTGCCAGCTCATGGAAGCAGGTAGGAGGGGGATCGCGTGGGGAGCAGGGTGCCAGCCAGGGACCCCAGCAGCGGAGGCCCCTGTGTCTGTCTGCCGTGCCTCTCCCTGGATGTAATTTAGAATGTGAACTTCAAATGGCCTATGATGTGATTGCCTGGCATGTTCACTTTAAAGTTTTTAGGACATGCCACCAGACAGAACGTGTCACTGGGGCACGGTCATTGAGGGTCCCCATTTGTCTTGTCATCTCTTTCCTCTGTGGCTACCTGGAGGATGAGTGTGGGTGCGTCAGGAGGGGTCTGATGACCTGGTGGCTGTGGTCCTCTCTGCGGGGGTGGGGCACCAATCCCAGACTGGTCGTTTTCTGTCAGCTTGCCTCTCTGCTGCTGAGGGAGGCGTGCGAGCCGGGCCTCTCCAGCCGGCGTTGGGGGAACTTAGCTGCTCATGATCGTGTCCCTTCTGCAGCCTCTCCCAGCCCTTGGTTCGGCCACAGGGAGACCCCGTTGCTCTTTACCCCTGACTTTATCTTCCCAAGGCTCATGTATTACACAGAAGGGAGACTTGCAGTGGGCTGTAGCCTCCCCCTCTGCCAGCCATCTTGCTCGGTGTGCATCAGTCACAAGGAAAACCAGGTGAGGGTGTGTGGCTTGGTGCACATGGTCACAGGGCTGGAACCCACAAACCGCTGCTGGACAGGTGCTTACGGTTCTGCTGGCGTCCAGCAGGATTGCAGGTGGCCTTGTGGTGGCCCAGTTCCCTCCTCTCTGAGTTCATTCCTGTTGGGAGAAGGACTATGTGCTCTCCAGAGGTTTTCTGGGTGTTCAAGGATTAATTGTGCATTTCATGTATGAGGCAGGAAGGTGATGAGAAGAGCACTGTATGAGGAGTCTGGAGGCCTGCATCAGTGTTGATGTGAAATTTCACAAGGTGGCTGCGTGACTGTGGCGATGGCAGACCCCACGGCTTCCCCCGGGCCATCTGTCTCTAGCTGCAAAACAAGAACTGGACTCAGGGCAGCCTGATCCATCCAGACCTTCCTTTCTGGGGGCTCTGAAGCCCCAGCACACTGGTGGAAACAGAGGAGCTGGTCTCTTAGGGATGGAGTGTGTCTGCACAGGGCCTGAGCTCACGGGGTGGGTGAGTGCGGGCTCAGGAGCTAGACCACCAGGTGTCCCCAGCATCACTGGTTAAGGGCCGTGTGACCTCGGGTGGGTGACTTCTCTGTCTCCATTTCTTCATCTGTGAAATGGGGATACATATACTTCCTAGCGTCCTTGCAGAGTTTAAGTCTGTGCGTGGAAAGCCTTGAACCGCTGTGAATGGCAAGTCTTTATTAGTGTTTCTGGAGGATGTGGGGGGTGCTGGGCACACGTCCTTCCACGGGCCAGCCGGGCACCCCTGACTGCGGAGAGCAACACAGCCCTCACTTCGAGGGGATCGAAGCGTTGAATTCCATATGCACCGTGACTCCTCCCTCCACGTGCACCGGGACTCTGGCTTGCCCAGAAGGGTGAGAATCTGTGGATTATTGGGTCTGTGATGGCTGCGGGGCCTCTACTTCCACATGAGAAGAAGGCCTGGGAGCTTGCCTGGACCCAGATTTCACACGCCTTTCTTCTCCTCTGAAGTTACTGTGAGAAGGCAGATTGGATTTCCGAAGTGCCTCGGTGCTGTCCCCTGTGGCTTTACTCTGGAAGCTTTTGGAGGCACCCAGGCCTAAATCAGCCTGTGAAATCCCCTGTCTCCTTTGAAAAAACAACAACAACAAACCCCCCCCAAAAAACCACAAAACAACAAACCCAAACACCTTTATGTCAAGGGAGCAACGCAACACGGGATAATAATGTCCCGCAGTCTCAAGGGAGAATTCTCTCCCTGAAGAAACTCGAAGAGGAGTAGGAGCCAGAAAAGCTAACGTCAGAAGAGCTCACTCAGTTAGGAGGGGGAAGGGGCCGAGAGGAAATGTGGACCCTCTCCAGCCAGTCACTTGGGGGGGGGTCAGTTGACATTACAAATGAGATGCTCCGTGTGTGAGAAATGACGTCACGGCTGCAGGGGCTCGCCACTCTGTCCACCCCATCTGCTCCCCAGTGAGCTGCAGCCTTCCCTGAGTACCTACTCTGTGCTTCCTCTGCACAGTTTCTAGAACTACAGAACCTGAAGAGCGAGTCAAAAAGAGATGCTCTTCCTCCGGGAGAGGATGGTCTACTTGGCAAATGTAAAGCATATTGAGGAAAAGAGAATTCTACACGCTGTGACTCTTTAACAGTTCTGGTTTTCAACAATCCTTCCAGTAAGTCTTACATAGATTATCTTAATTTTCAAAAATCCTAACCCTTTTCTCCAGGCAAGGGAAACACTCAGGTTGTCTGTGTACCCACGTTCATACCACTAGGAAGTAGCGAAAGGGGAAGGTGAGCCCTGGTCAGACGCCCAAGCCTGTGACTTTAACCACTAAAGCATGTGGTCCCCAGAGATGACTTGGCTTAATCTCTTAGGTCTGTAAGTCTCCCATGTCAATTCTTTTTTTTTTTTTTTTAATTTTTAAAATTTTTTTTAATTAAAAAAAATTTTTTTTAAGAAGTTGATTCTTCAGAGATGGAGCAGTCAGGGATGCTTGGTGACGTGGCGATGGGGTGAGGCGCGTAAAAGGGCCCATCAGACTTAGGGGAGCAGCAGTAGAACCCTGGCAGCGAGGGTATAGTTGGGCATGGGTGGGGCCAATGAGAACTCTGACCCAGTTCGTGGTAGCGGGATCGTGATGGTCTGGTGGGGCCACGGAAAGAGTGTGGCATTCTTTCTCATTCAGTCCCAATTCAGCTCTTTTGAGCTGGCTGTTTACTGGCTGTGTGAACTTGATGAGCCCCCAAACCCTAGACCAGGAGTTGGCAAACTATGGCCCTGGGGCCAAATTCAGCCCACTCCTTGCTTTTGTAAATAAAGTTTTATTGATACACACCCACGTCCATTCATGTTCATTTTACCTGTGGCTACTTTTGTGCTATGACAGTGGAGTTGAGCAGCTGTTACTAAGGCCATGTTGCCCATAAAGATGAAAATATTTGCTGTCTTGCCCTTTGCAGAATAAAGCGTGCTGATTCCTGCCCTAGACCCACACACGTAGCACAGAGTGGGGGTAGATAGAACTTGCGTGGGACAGTGTGGAAGGGCTCAAGCCATGCCTCCTTGCTGGCACCTTTGCTACTACGCGGTGCCTTGGTTTTCTTATTCCTCCTCTGATACCCCTGCCCCGCTTCACCATGCACAGTAGGAAGCATTTAGAGTAGGTCTGAAAGCTCTAGTAAGAATAGTTCCCACTGTGTTCCCAGACCTATAGCATGTGTGCTGGATGGGCTCCTCTTCACGGCCACCCTGAAGGCAGACGGGGTCTTCCCTATTTAATGGGTGAGTTTAGATGTTGAGCGGCCTTGGGACTTAAACCCCAGGCAGCGCGACCCTTAATACCTGTGCTCAAAAAGGGCAATCCTGAAGCTTCTGCAAAAGTTTTTGTTTTGTTTTGTTTTTTTAAGAGTCTTGTCTTTCCCAAGGAAGTGGAGAGAATGACATTCTGGCCCTTTTGCTGGCTTTGATGCTGTTGCCCACCTTCATCCCCGGGGTCCTCCACCCACTTCAGGAAGGCTGGCCCTACAAGTTAGTTCTCTTCCATTTCTCACCTCCAACCCAAATTTCTCCCCTTTTTTCTGGGCCCTCTTGTGGCGTAGAAAGGTAGGAGAGGACTTAGCCTGGAGGCTGCCACTCTTCATTCCTCCTGCCTGACTTCCTTCAGGTGGGAGCTGAGGGCCACACTCCCAGGCCAGTTGCTGGGGACCTCACCACATTCCGCATCGCTGGTTTGGGCTGTCTCTAGCACCTGACGGAGATGCTGGGGGAAATCCAAGGGGAGGGGTCGTGCAGACTCGAGCGGGTGTGATGTTGGTCTCGGCGTAGCTGAGTGACTCCACTTGCCCATCCCCTCCTTGGTCCCCAAAATGTTGGATGGGGGAGACCCTCTGACCTGGGGTTTGGCTGTGTCTCTGCTGCAGGCTCTTGACTGAGCCCTGGGCCTGACAGTCTGTGGGCTGTGGCTCCTGGCGGCTTCGTCTCTGGTAACAGGCTTAGGCGCGCTGAGCCTCCTTTGTATCACTCACGGTCCGTTTCCAGCCTGTCTTATCTGGGTGCCAAGCGTTTCCTCGGGGCTGTTTTCCTTGACCACAATGCCTGAGGTCATTCTGTCCAATACATCCCACTGACACTGTGCGACGTCACCTGGCTCCAGGAGGAGGGCGGAGTTGTGGAGGGAGCAGGAAGGCGAATGGGCTTCCACAGCTGGTCTGCTGTTCTCTTGCACCCCTCCTGGATGCCGCTCAGAAGCCCCCCACAAGCTCCCCATCTGCACCGTTCCTTAAGGATCGTATAGAAGCTCCAATGTATGCAGGCCATGTCTGTCTGTCTGTCTGTCTCATAAGTCAGGCTGATGCCTGGAGCCAATATCTGGTCATCTTTTGACTTTATTACCTGGTTCCTTCCGAAGGCTGCCACAGGAACCCCCTTTCCTGCCTTTGGAACCGGATAGGGATTTATCTGAAGCCACTTGCCGTATTTATAACCAGGAGAGGAGAGAACTAGGAGTTCTGCCATCTGCCGTGAGCTGAGCACACTGGGCGCTTTTGCAAACGTGGACTAGATGAAGACGAGCAGAACAAGGAGCCCTGTTTCCTGTGTTTCCATCTGTGGGAATGGGAACACGGTGTTAAGGTGTCCTTTTAGATCCCCAGGAGATGGCTGTCTAGGACCTGGTCCTTGCCTGGCTGTTTCTGCGATGGGAACAGCAGGTTCTGACCTTCTGGACCAGGGATTATGGTGGTGCCTGCTGTCAGCTGACCATCAGCGTAGCTGACACTAGATCAGGTGTTTAGTCCGTGCTCGTCATCACGCCCAGTGCTCCCATGTTCCCTCATTTCCTCCTTCTCACATCTTTGGAGGCCAGTGGACGTCATCCCCATTTTATTGATGAGGAGAC